CCCCACCCCGCGCCCCGCCCGCCCCTCCGCCGTCGGCCGCTCTCCCAGCCGCGCCAGGGCTTGACGCCGCCCCGCCGTTGCTTCCACTTTGAAAGCCTTCAAACCCGCGTTCCGGGGCTCTTCCCACTCTGCGGCCCCCCCGACCCCCCGCAGCTGTCCAGTAACCCCCGGTCTGGCCAACGCTAAGTTCGTCTCTGCGCGATTAATTCTCTCTAAATGCTTGCGCAGACTTAAAGGCACAACGAAGACGCCGTGCTGTATTATTTTGTAAATATTTCCTATTGCTACAGCGCGATTCGGAATATTGAAATCACTGAAGCATTTGAATATTTCTAAGCGATTTTTAGTGGCATTCCTTTATCATTGGGTAATTACGAAGTTTTTTCGAGTCTCAGAGGCATATTAGCAACAATATACTAAAAATTGCTTAAATGCTTATCACAGTGGAGGTTTGAATGTATTTGTTTTAGTTTCTATAATCATAGGATTATAGAACCAAGGATTCTAAAGCCGGAAAACAGTTCAGGAATATATGCCAGCCCCTTCAGTTTACAGGGTTTGTTGTTGTTGTTGTTTTGTTTTGTTTTTTTTAAAGCAAGCCATCTGGAAGTTCTCTTGGAAGTAGAACCTACATTTTCTGACTGTCTCGATACTATAATGTGACAGATGTAACATGATTGAATCACTCACTGAAATAAAGTACATACTATCTCTTGTTAAATGATTCTCAGATCCAAGTCGGTTTTTGTTGTTGTTTTGTTTGTGTGTTTATTTTTAATTTGGTGCAGTATCAGGACGGGAAAATTAGAACTAACCTTTGAGTGCCTACTATACCTGGCATGTGCTAGGAACTTTCATATCCCTAATCTTATATAATCTTTTCCATACCCTGTCAGGTAAGTAATATCCCCATTAAAAATAAGGATGATGAGTCAATGAGAATGAATAATGTCCATTTGACCTCAAGGGCAGGAGAGTCCAACGTAGGTATATTGGATTTCCAAAGGCTATTTTTTTTCTATGATAAACTAACATAAATTAGATGACTGCTTTCTTAATGTCTAATATTTCCACCATTTGTTCTTTATAGAAAGAGCCTAGATATAATGATGGTTTTATGCAGAAGAAATATTTTGATTGTTTTTGAGCTCTGCTACTTGAAGATGTAGAGGTGTCAGACTTCTTCTGCTATATTGATTCTTAAGATTGTAAAAGTTAAGTGAAAAAATCTCATTTAAAACAGTAATCTGCACTATCTCGGATCTGGTGACAGTGTACATTTCTTTGGGGCCTACAAATGACATGTCTGAATATTTTTATCTCATTTTAATCTTGAAAATCGTGTAATTGATAAGATTCCAGGTGTTCAGGTGGCAGTCAGTGAATAGACTGTTTATTGATCCAATGAGTAGAGTGCTGTAAGAACTGCTCTGAAAAGTGCGCACGGCTTTAGCTAGAGTGCTACAGGCATACCTTGCATATTGCAGGTTTGGCTCCAGACCACCGTGATAAAGGAGGTCAGATGAATTTTTTGGTTTCCCAGTGCATATAAGAGTTACATTATACTGTAGTCTATTAAATGTGCAATGGCATGATGTCTAAAAAATGTACATACCCTAATTTAAAAATACTTTATTGCTAAAAAAGGCTAACTGTCATCTGAGCTTTCAGCAGGTCATAATCTTTTTGCTGGTGGAGGGTCTTGCCTTGATGTTGGTGGTTGCTGACTAATCAGGGTGGTGGTTGCTGAAGGTAGAGTGGCTGTGGCAACTTCTTAAAGTAAGACAGTGATGAAGTTTGCATTATTGATTGACTCTTGCTTTCATTAATGATTTCTTTGTAGCATGTGATGCTGTTTGATAGCATATCTACCCACAGTAGAACTTCTTTCAAAACTGGAGTCAATACTCAAACCGTCCTGCTGCCTTATTAAGAATAGGAAATGTAATATTCTAAATCTTTCGTTGTCATTGCCACCATCTTCACAGTCTCTTCACCAGGAGTAGAGTCCATCACGAGAAACCACTTTTTTGTTCATGCATAAGAAACAACTTCTCATCCGCTCAAGTTTTATCCTGAGATTGCAGCAACTCAGTCACCTCTTTAGGCTTCACTTCTAATTCTACTATTCTTGCTATTTCTACCACATCTGCAGTTCCTTCCGCCACTGAAGCCTTGAACCTTCAGTTTTTAAAAAAAACTCAGTATCTGTGAAGCGCAGTAAAACGAGTGCAATAAAACAAGGTATGCCTGTACTTTTTAAATTTCAGGGATTATCAGCAGCTAAAATATGTCTAAGGCATGAGTGGAAGGAAAGAAAATGGGAAGCAAAAAAGAAGACACAGCATATCATGAGAAAAAGTTGAATCCTTCCTTTTTATTCAGATCCTTCTCAACAGAAGATAGCTAAAAGGCCTTGGAATCTGGAGGTAATCCAGTAGTCAGTAGTTAAGAATAATGATCAAATAATTCCAGATTGTATGTTCTAATCACAGTTTTCTTCCTTATTAACAAAAAACAGTGTGTGTTAAAATTCACAAATATATATCTAAAGCTTGAATGGCCCACAGATAACTGTCTAGATTACTCATTACTCTGTTGTTGGGACATATTCTAGAGGACATGGCATCTGAAAACAACTCTACCTCTCTCTAGAGGTGAGAGCAGAAGTGCTGAAAAAGTAAGTGGCACATTTGAATTGGTGCCAGAATATTCTTTTGCTCCTACTTCTTCCATGTCCTTTCAGTATCACTGAACTTCATGCAAACTTTAGTACTGCTACAGGGAACATTGAAAAGTTCCTGAGTAGTTCCCCCAAATTTTGGAGGAAAAGCATGTTTGTAGGTAGTATGCTTTCCTCTTAGGATTTTATTTCCATAACACAATTGATGTTAGTCCTTTCTGCCCTGAACTTTTCCTTATAGAAAATATCTGCATAAATATGCGTAACTACATATTTCTGTTTTGGATGTGGACTTAAAGGAAGATCAATTTAGAATGTGTTTGAAAAGATTCCAGATGAGAGGCTTACAATGCCAGATATTAAAACATATCACAATACTATAATAGTTAAATCAGTGCTCCTGATGCAAGATGAGACAACATGATGGAATGGAAAAGAAACTACATAAACAGCCTAGCACACCAGCCTATTTTATACTTAAAAGGTAGCATTTTAATTCTGGAAAAACAATTACTCATTCAATAAATGGCCTGAGTATAGCTAGAGGAAAATGATAGTGGAGCCTTAGGATTGAAGAGTTAATGTAGGGAAATTAAGCTATATCATATCAGAAGAAAATATGTGACTCTTTTCAAATCTTAAGTTGAGAAAAGAAAAATGAATTGGGTAAAACTATGAAGGAAGATTGGTAGATAAAACTTTTAAAAAAGTAAAAAAATATGGTTTTAAACACCATAAAGTAAGAAAGCAAATGACAAACTGGGGAAAATATTTGCAATATATATGATAGGCAAAAATAAAGATTAATAACTGTACAAATAAAAGTATCTCCATTGAAAAATGACCAATGGAGATGTACAAGCAATGTACACAAGAAGAAATGTAGTATGAATCAAAGAAACCCAGCCGAAAATGAGATTTTTTCTTATTCAATTTGCAAATATTAAAAAGAATTTTTGAGAAGAGCATGGGGAAATGAATTAGTCTGGTAATGGGAGCACAGATTTGTATGACCTTTTTGAAGGAGAAGTTTAGTGATGTGTATCAAAAGCCTTAAGTGTGTATTCTCTTTAACCTAATCGTCCTGTTTTACATATTCTTAGACGGTCACATAGGCCATCCATGTCATGTGGAAGACATTTATTCTTTTCAGATGCTCAAAATTTGAACCTCCTTTCTCTATTGTAGTATCGACCATCAGATGAGTCTTGTAGGGGTATTTGTTGTAGTTGTCTGACTACCTCCTACCTACCTCCCTAGAATGTAAATTCTATAAAGATAGAAGTTTTGTTCCCTGTTGTATCCCCAGTATCTAGAATTGGGTAGAGCTTAGAGGAGGTGACCTATAAAAAGAGCCTGAGTGCCACGTACTCATTTTTCCAGCCTCCTTTGCAGCTAGGTTGTGGGCAAGTGGCTTGGACTTGGTTAGATGAATCTGTGCTAGATTTGGACTTGGAGTAAAGATGTAAAAACGAGGAGCTGCAGAGGATTCTTACCTAGCAAGAGAATCTATAGGAAGATCGAGGTCCCTGATATAAAAGGCAGAGCTACAAACGGTAGCATGTTGCTCCCCAGTGACAGCAGTGGTTAGCTCGCCGGTCCTGTTCTCTGGCATGATTTCAGACTTTGCTCTTCCTCGTGGACATCAGAGGCTGGTTCTCCAGCTTCCCTTGCCGATTTTGTGAGTGACTTCATATTCACTTCTGAAAATTTTATTTTCTTAATTTTAAAATTTGAAACGTACGTACAAAAAGAATAGGTAAAATAAGTATCATTTAAGTTAAACATGTTTAACTTCCAGATTAAGAATTCGACTAGAACCAGTACCTTAGAAGTTTTCTGTTTGTCTTTCACTGATCACAATGCTCCTCCCACTCCAGAGGATGCCAGTATCTTGATTTCTAGTTAATCACTCTTTTCTTTATAGTTTTGCCACACACGTGTCTATCTCTAAACAGTATATTATTTGGTTTTGGAATCCTAGCATACGTTTTCTTTTGTGACTTAGTTCTTTTAGTAAATGTATGTGTTTTAGATTCACACATTGCTGGTATTCGGCTAATGTGCCCTTGCATGGCTGTACCTGTTTTGACTTGATGTCCATTCTGATT